GGCCCTGGCTTAGGCCGCCGCTGCCCCGGCGACACGACCTGGGCCTCTGAGCGGCCGGCCGAAACACAGCATAGTGTAAAAATGCACCCGGTGAAGCCGAGCCCCTTAAAAACACGGGCACTGCCACCCTAATCAGTGGCTTCATCACGAAGGACCTGTATTTTCCCCCTAATGGAATTGCGGATTTTGCTTAGCAGCTGTCTCCTTTGGTGTTCCTTTTATGGCCTTTTCGTTTTCAAGAAGACGACGAAGCATGAAGCAAAGCAGCTAAGCGCTGTGATTATTCCCATGCTGACATAAACAAAATGCAGTGTCAGCAAAAAAAGGTGTTAGGTCCCCTGCTTCCCAGATGCACTGTCTGGCAAGTTTATAAAGCCTAGCCTGAGTCTCCTGTTGTTCACTTAAATGGTAACAGTCCCAAATTCTTCAGTTCAAGTGGGAGCAATTTCAGGCCATCGTATTGCAGGCCTGGTGTTAAACTGCCTCTAATCCTGATAGTTCAAGACAAAAAGGAATTTGCTAAAAGTTCATCAAGTCTAATCTAGTTTCTCTGCGTGGCCACTATCAGATGTTTCACAGAAAAAGAAGCAAGAAGTCCAAGAGCAGGCAGATGTTGAGTAATTTTCTCTCATTAGAACCCCAGTGTGTGCTGGCATAAATCCTGAAGTGTGCTGTTTTACCCCTGTCAGATCCAACCATTAACCTAACACTGCCAAGTCCACCACTAAACCATGTCTGTCTTTTAAATACCTGCAGGGATGGGGACTCCACCACTTCCCTGGTCCCTCCCAGTTCCAGTGCCTGACAACCCTTTCCATGAAGAAATTTTTCCTAATGTCCAATCCAGACCTTCCCTGGTGCAACTTGAGGCCATTGCTTGTTACTTGGGAGAAGAGACTGACCCCCACATTGTTAGAGCTTCCTGTCAGGCAGTTGTAGAGGGCGATAAGGTCTCCCCTCAGCCTCCTCTTCTCCAGGCTAAGCACCTCCAGTTCCCTCAGCTGCTCCCCATCAGCCTTGGGCTCCAGACCCCTCACCAGCTTTGTTGCCCTTCTCTGGAAACTCTTAAGCACCTCAATGTCATTCTGGTAGTGAGGGGCCCAAAACTGAACACAGCATTCAAGGTGTGGTACCCTCAGCCCTAACTGTTAGTGCCAGGTATTTTTGTGAATTCCAATTAAATGTGCAGCCTCTGTCTAAACCTCTCCAAACCCTTGACTTCATGGCTGCATTATGTCAGCAAGTTCCACACTCACCATGAAGAACTTCATTGTGTGAAGAACTGGGATCCGCCTGGCTGGAGAGCAGCTCTGTGAAAAGGGGCCTGGGGATCCTGATGGACAACAAGCTCAATATGAGTGAGCAGTGTGCTGCTGCTGCAGCCAAGAAGGCCAACAGGATGCTGGGCTGCATCAAAAAGAGCATCACCAGCAGAGATAAAGAAGTCATTATCCCACTGTACTGAGCACTTGTCAAGCCACACCTGGAATACTATGTGCAGTCCTGGTTCCCGCTATAGAAAAAAGTTGTGGACAGGCTGGAGGGGGTACAGAGAAGGGCCACCAAGACGATCAAAGGACTGGGAAACCTGCAATATGATGACAGCCTGAGGGAACTGGGTTTGAGGAAAGGAGGCTTAGAGGGGATCTCATTGCCGTGTACCAGTACCTAAGGGAAGATGGAGACTCCCTTTATACAAGGAGTCACATGGAGAGGACAGGGGGGAATGGACACAAGTTGCTCTTGGGGACATTCCCATTGTACATGAGCGGGAAATTTTTCACAATGAGAGCAGGGAAGTGGTTGACTCCACCACATTGGACACTTTTAAGACTCAAGTGGACAGGGTGCTGGGTCATCTCTTCTAGACTGTGCTCTTGTCTGGAAAGGTTGGACCAAGCGATCCTTGAAGTCCCTTCCAACCTAGGATTCTATGATTCTATGACTCTATGAACTGTTTGCCATTTTTGATTTGGCAAATTTTCAGTTTAAGTGGAATACTGCCTTGTTACTGGTATATGCAACAGTCCTGTCTAGCTTCTGAACATGTCATTGTTTTATACTTTCATCATGTATTCTATTAATCTTCTGAGATAAATTGTTCAAAACTTTTTGGTCATTATTCCTCTGAGAATTGCTCCTGCTTCTGTTGCAGCTCTCAAGCTTCAAATTCCTAAACACCCTTCTTCGGACTGAGGTGGCCCGTGGTCAACATTGCAGAAAAGGCAATGGCACAGAGCTATGCCTGAGTTCTCCAGAATTATTTTTCATTCTTTTCCACATGTTTCTTAATATCTCAGTCATTTTTCTGTCATATTGCAGATTGAACAGAGCTGTTAACACATTGTTTGGGGTAATACCCAATGCCATTTTTTGATATTATCAAAGAGTTAATTTAGAATCCCGTAACATGTATTTATAAAGGATTTTTTTCTTCAAGACAGTAATCGGTCATTATGTCATTAGACATACTATTTGCCTTTTTAGTGACTATTCACTTAGTAGGGTGGAAGACTTCTCAACCTCTTCAATGTCTTCTCTCAAGTGACTGACTTAAATAACTCATTTGCAAATGCTGCTGCTGGATTGTTGGCCCCTTTCCAATTAATATACAATAGAGCCCTTAATATGAAACCTGTTTTTCATCTCTGATGAATAAAGACATAAATCAACAGACCATTTGCATGTTGGAAGATGCTGAGCACTTTCTGTTCCTGATTGATGCATCTAATACAGCTTAAAAAGAAAAGGGTTTATATGTTGTATTGCTAACTTGGCTGAGTTGAAAATCTTAATCCTATGGGCCAGTTTGAGAAGGTCAATTCGAAACTGATTTGAGTGCAGTGATTTTAAGGGCATCTTTCTTGCTCTTTTTGAGCAAGCTTCATCTGAATTCAGCTTGAGTTGCTGTTGCTTAGTACATCTGAAAATGAAGACATTGTAATTTGACATCAAAATTATTGTCTTTTAGAAAACTAGTGTAAAAAACTGTTTTTAGTCTTAAAATGAGGAGACTGATGCCTCTCTACATTCAAAAGATCCACAAAAGTCATAGAGGTTAGCAACAACTTGCAGGAGTCTGAAAATGTGCTGAGATTGACCTAATGGTTCTGAGCATTCTGTCACACCAGATGCGGCCAAATAAAATTAAAGTCTTGAGTTTAGAGGTGTATGAAGTTAAATGTGATTGTTTATATCAAACATGAGCTTGATTTGTAATCATCCCAGAACATTTGGAAAACATGGATCCAGAGGCAGATCATGGTCTCAGCTTTGCAGATGGGGCCAGTTCCTGGTTGAGAGAATGTTTCCTTCATACCTATGTTGGATCACATTCAATTTTTATATTTAGATCTGAAAAATCTGAGAAATTTAATGGCTGAATTTACAGACATTTCCTGACTTCCATTTTGCCAACTTAATTTAGAAATTATTCATTGCTCTGGCTTAGATTAACTTCTGGCCCACACTTGTTCAAAACAATTACAAATATTAGAATGGATTAGTTGAACTTAGGTGAGTTTAAAATGTTGCAAAACTGCAGAAGAGGCAAGATTTACATGGTGTTACATTTTGTTGTCAGTATGTTGATTTATATACCTCCAGATCCCGAAAAGTTCAGGATACTTCAAAATGTAAAGTAACACAACTTACATAGTAGTAAAAAAAAAAAAAAAACCCAACAGCCCAACAAATCTAATGTTTAAGTTTCTTCCTTAGAATCACAGAAACAACAATCATGCAACCACAAAATTATGAGAGCAAATGTGATGAGAAATACTCCAATTCCTCCAAAAAGCAGTTCTGAGTTTTCTGAGTTTTTCCACTTAGTTTGTTTTTCACATTTCCATTGGTTTGATGTGAATTACGCTTTGAT